TAAGAAGGACCTGTCAATAAGTATCACAACATTGGGTCAATGGTAACTAAAGAAATGCAATAAAATTTTAACATTTGTGATCATGCATAAGGCTTACTCGAGGTACGATTTAACTTCATTGCAATTGATCAATACATGAACATGAACAGAATTCAACTGTTGATCAGTTAACCAATGAGTCAACTCCTTTCCAAAATGATGTCCAAGTAGGTAAAAAACTGATAATGTTGATGGAAGTTTTTCACCTTCAATTTCGACTTCATTTCTAGTATTTTGTGGTCTTAGCACAAAGTTGTTGAAGTAGTGAGAACAAAAGTGATTTGTCTCACGATGCAAATTTGAGGCACAAATATATCCTTCAACCCTAACCTTATTCTTTACTGACCTTTTAACATATCTCATGAACCTAAAATATCAAAGAAATATGTCATGATCAAAGTCACTTAAATGACAACATTGATGAGTAAGAACTCGTGTATTACCTTTCAAATGGGTATATCCACCTATACTGTACTAGTCCACCAAGTCTTGCTTCATATGGTAGATGCACAGGGAGATGTTCCATAGAATCAAAAAATGATGGGGGGAATATTCTTTCCAACTTGCAGAGAATGAATGAAATATTTTCCTCCATCCTAGTAAGGTCATCCTCCTTTAATGTCGTAGAGTACAAATCTTTGAAAAAATGACTTACCTCGATAATGGGATTTAGAACATGTGTTGGTAATGAACTGAATGCTATAGGAAGTAAGCACTCCATAAACACATGACAATCATGACTTTTCATCCCAATGACCCTTCCACTATTCACATCAGCACACCTTGTCAAGTTGGAAGAATATCCATCAGGCATCCGAAGATCTTTTAGCTAATGACATACATGTTTTATTTGATCTGCTGCAAATGTGTAGGAAGCTTTTGGCTTTAGCAACTTACCATTTGGATGTGACTTCAACTCCAAGTCTTTTTGCCTATAATACAAATTTAAATTCATTTGTGCCTTCTCGTTGTCTTTTGTCTTCCCACTCACATTCATCACAGTGTTAAAGATGTTATCAAAGAAATTTTTTTCAATATGCATAACAGCAAGATTATGTCTTAATAAATTATCCTTCTAATATGGCAGATCCCAAACAATGCTTTTTTTTCGTCAAGTTATGTCACTCCCCATAACCTTCTATTCTTTTAATACCAACTTCAGTTACATTAGAATAATTTTTCACTCTATCCCAAACTTGTGTAGATGTCAACTTCGGAGGTGGAGAATCCATGTCAACTTCGGAGGTGGAGAATCCATGTGGTAAAAAACTACAGTGCGAGTCAAACTAACTATTTTTTCTCCCATGCTGTAATCTAAAAGCCTTTGTATGCTCCATGCAGTGTGGGCATGCCAATTTACCATGAGTTCCCCATCCGGACAATATACCATATGCATGAAAATCATTAATCGTCCACATTAATGCAGCCCATCATAAAGTTTTTTTTTTCCTTGAAATATCGTATGTTATGACACCAATCCACAACTTCTTCAAGTCATCTATCAAAGGCTCTAGAAAAACATCAATACCAGCCTTTGGATTGAATGGACATGGAATGAGACAAGTCAAAAACATATAAGGTTTAGACATGCACATTTGTGGAGGAAGATTATATGGGGTAACAATTATTGGCCAACATGAATATGCATTTGATGCCATGACATATGGGTTAAAACCATCAGAGCATAAACCCAATCGTACATTGTGTCCCTCAATGGAAAAATCGGGATATACTCTATCAAAGTGCTTCCAAGCCTCACCATCACATGGATGACGCAAAACACCATTAGTGCTTTTGTTCTCATAATGCCACATCATTTCTCCTACAGTTTGTAGTGATGCATACAATCTTTGTAATCGTGGAATTATTGGCAAATAGAACATTGCCTTCACAGGAACTAGTTTTTTATTACTTGCTCTTGTGTTGTGGTCACGATACCTTAGCTTATGACAAAATTTGCATTCAAGTAATGCCCCATCATGCTTGTCATATTCATTATCATAGAAGAGCATGCAACCATCCACACAACAATCAATCATCTTAGTTTCTAATCCCAACTTGGACATTAACCTTTTTGCCTCATAATAACTCTTAGGCAATCATGCTTTTATGGGTGTTGTGTCCAAAAGCATTTTAGTTATAAATTCCAAGCATTGGTCATAAATTCCAAGCATTGGTCAGGAACATTCCAATTGGACTTACAAGTTAATAACCTGGCACACATTAATAGTTTGGACTCTGATGCCCCTTCATACAACGGTGTATTTGCATCCAACAATAGGTTATAAAATCTTTAGGTATCTTTGTTCGGATCCTCTTCCATGTTATTTGAATTTGGTGGTTGGAATGACTCTTGTTGCCTAAAAGTATCATAAAATATCTCTTGCATCGACACAAATTGGTCATGTTGTGACTGATTATGTACACCATGACTCCTCAGACCCATGTTGTTATCATCATTATCACAATCACTATGTGTCATCTCTTCATCATGATCAGTCCAAATCCAATAATTAGGCTTGAAACCATGTTTGTAAAGGTGAACCTTCACAAGTCTTTCCTCCAAAATCCTCGTACAGTCGCACTTATTACATGGACATCGAATTCTCTCATCATTGTGATAAGAATCTTGTTGCAAAGCTTTGTTTACAAAGTCTTCCACCCCCATTATAAATGACTCTTTCAAAGCACATCTTCCTCTATGACACCTCTCATACATCCATGCACGATTTGATGGGAACTGGTCCATGTTCTATATATACAAAATATGACCACTAATTAGAAAATTTTGATGATAAGTTTCAATATTGGGGAATATCTTTCCTTGTTGCCCAATAAGTTTCGATATTTAATCTTCCAAAAAAGAAGAAGAAGTTATTAATAGGGAAATAACTAATGAGGAATAACTAACATGAAAGACTTCTATCATAATGGTATATTTTCATGTCATTTCATGCGTGAAATAATGGTCGATATCATTAAAACTATCATGTATCTATTTGACAGTTGTTTTAGGTATATTTTAATGCTGAAAAACTTCATTCCAGCTGAAATTTGACATCCATAATTCATAAACTGAATTTTGAAATTTTAAGAATTGAAATTTAGAATTAAAGCAACCACAGGATCACAACAAGAACCAAAATCATGATTTTTCTTGTGCCAAAACAGAATAAAAGACTAATTACAATGCTAACATGGTGGTAGATATACAAGAAACTTACTCAGAACTTTATCACTTCTATGTTTATTATCAAAAAAAGATAAACAACCCTATCATGTATTTCACAAACTATGAAGTTCACTTTCAAAGGAAAAAGAAGGAAAAAAAAATGAAAAATAGAACTGCATTAATGTTAATGATCAGCAGTTCAAGATACATGAATAATTATCACTCTAAAAAAGTCAGGCCAAACATGATGCAGCTAAACTAAACATTATGCAGTTCACTTTCAAAGGAAAAACAAGGAAATAAAAGGAAAAACAGAACTTTACCCTGGTGATAGAAGATAGTTCACTTTCAAAAAAGGAAAAACAAAACTTCAACAGGAAAAACAATTCACTTTCAAACATTATGCACTTAAACCCTATCACTTTCACACATTAGTGCACAATACCCTATATGAAACAGTGAAGTTCCGAACAGATAAAACCAACAAAATTTTTATTATTAGGACAGATTTTGTGTGCAAAACATCAATCATAGTATAAAATACCACAAATAACCTTAGATAGAAATGAGAGTGGTCCTATAACATTTCCATTTCACCAAGGTCAATAGTCAACGAAAATAAAAGTTTGAGAATATATACAACAATATAAATATGTTGAATGTTAAATAATACCAGCACAAGATGAAGGTGGCACTAGCTTATCGATCTCCAATTCAGAACTCTCTCAACTTTTCACGTTTAAGGAAAAACTCATAAAATATGCAGAAAAAAAAGAAGAAATAAGAAAAGAAAAAAGAGACAGAAAGGAACCTAAAATGCCAATATTCAAATCAATATATGACTAGTCAAAGAATATATTTATGATACTAGATAGATCCAAAAGATGTGTTTTTAACATCTACGGAATGCACTACAGTACAAACTACAATATAGTTACACATTGTACTCTTCATAAATGCATAGATCTATAACTTACAACTTCAGCTCATTATGATGACAAAACATTCACTAGTGAAACAAAAGAAGCAATCTCAAAATCTACACACGTCTGTTCAATGACAATAACCCAAATTAACCTCTAACGAACCCATGGTCTATACCAAAACGAACACAAACCTAACAGAGGTAATCAGAGACAAACCTAATAACGCAACAGGGCAAACCCAAATAAGCATGACTAAACCAACTATAGTTAATCCCATAAAATTGGACAACCATAATGTTAAACCATTTACACGAGACCAAACACACAGGTCACAAACACACCAAAAATCCAATTAACACAATCCAATCAAAAGCAGAGAAGGACAACCAAGACTTGATTACAATAATCTAGACTTAGCGAACAGACCCAGTCCATAATCAAATAAATAGAATCAAACTCTCTTATTAAGACCCAAACCAAAGTGATCACAATCTACAATCCCCAATCAGACTCGTGCCCCAACCCCACATCAACAGTGAGTCTAAACCCAAAACTGCTCAATCACAACCTTATACCAAATATTTCAACTACATATTTACAGTTCAGTTCAGCCCCAAACCCCATAATCCACAAATCCAGTAAAAACTCAGTTTAAATCCAAGAATCGATCATAAATCGGGCAAACCAAATGAAACATTTCAAACAAGATGCGCTTCGAAAACCATCAGAATCACCAAACTCAAATAGAACAATTAGAACAATCAAACTCAAATCACGAACCATAAACAAAAAATAAAAAAGAGAAAGGGAAACTTAGGCTTGCGGCCCTTGCTTCTAATCACCAACCTTCAAGTTGACCTGTAATGGTTGGGGGGGGCGCGAGTCACGGCCAGGGCTCCGCGATTGGGTTAGGGTGATAATAGTGGACACGCGATGTGGGTTTCGCTAGGATGCAGAGGCCGCGAAGGAGGTGAGGGAGAAGGTGTCAGCGCGAGCTAAGGCTGTGGTGGAGGCACGAAGATGGAGTCTCACAGTGGCTCCGGGAGGTTGGTCGAACCTTGTAAGGTGTAATTTAGGATCTTTAAGGTTAGAACCTTGTAAGAAATTTAGGAATTAGAAAGAAGGTGGAAGGAAAGAATCACTCTTTCCAAGGAAGGCAATACACAAAGGATGTGAAAGTCCTTTGATACAGCCAATGGTTCTTGAATCACTCAAGAACTTAGGAGAATCACTCTTACTAAGATAAAAGAGATAAACTCTAATATTTCTAAAAATAAAACTCAACTTGTTATTTCTGATAAAAATGGTTCAGCTTATAAAGAAGCTTTTCCATCAGAGTTTCAAATATTCATTAAAGAAAAATAAATGCTAATAATGATTTATTAACCTAAGAATTGAAAACTACTTAATGATTGATTGTAACTGAAATTGTGGCATCCAAAAGTCAATCAGCTATGCACCCTCTTGGTCTCCCAAAGACTGATAACTAAATTTTCAATTGGATCCTTATTACAACTTGCAATAAAACTAAACTAAAGTCCATTAATTGATTAATCCAAAACACAATTTGGTCAACCAACAATACTTGTTGAAGAGCTTCTTTTGCTTCCCTTGCTCTAGCTCTTATCATAGGTCATGTTCACATCACTTCAGGTTGACCTGTAATGGCTAGGGGGGCGCGAGTCATGGCCAGGGCTCCGCGGTTGGGTTAGGGTGATAACGGTGGACACGCGATGTGGGTTTCGCTAGGATGCAGAGGCCGCGAAGGAGGTGAGGGAGAAGGTGTCAGCGCGAGCTAAGGCTGTGGTGGAGGCACGAAGATGGAGTCTCACAGTGGCTCCGGGAGGTTGGTCGAACGACTAGGGATGACAGGGTTCAGGTTCTTTGGTTAGGTCGCTGGAAAGGAGTATAACGAGGTGGAGAGACCCATGGCCAAGGTCGAAACAAGTTGCTCATGGGAGGTTGTCGAAGGATGCTGATGGCGCGCACGTGAAATGGGCGAGGTGAGGGATGCTTGGTGGGGATTCGGTTAAGGTGAGGTAGCGACTGCAACTAGGGTTCACAGCAAAGGCTGGGAGGCGCGACAACGACTCGACGAGGTGCACGTCAACCTAATAGTGGTGGTGCATGGTGAAGATGGTGGTAGAAGTCACGTCTGAGGTTCACAATAGAGACCATGAAGACGGGGTTCCGCAGGGGGGTCCACGGATGAGAGGACATCTCGCAGCTAGGCTGCATGAATAGAACCAGGGGCAGCGAATGGTGCATGGTTGTGGTCAGGGGCGTGGAGTTCAAGTGAAGGGTTGAGGAAGATTGAAAATGGAGCTCAATGACGAGTGCTCGGGAAAGAGAGGTGTGGGTGGCTGAGTTGTTGAGAGGAGCCGAGAAAAGAGTGAGGTAGAGGGAAGAGGGAATGAGGGAAAAGGGGAAGTGAAGGTGCAGGGAGAGTGGGGTTGCTCCGCGGGGAAGAAGTTGCAGGGAAGAAGAGTAAGGCGAGAGGGAGCTAGGGCTGGAAAGTGGAGGTTGTGGCTGAGAAGTGGAATTATTTTTTTACCTTTTAAAAAAAAGTTAGCAAGTGGAATTATTTTTTCAATCATATTTTTTAATATTTTTTAATAAAATTTGTATGTAAAATCTGTATGTAAAGTATGACTTCATTACATACCGATTTTATTGTCATTACCTACGTATTTCATCCTTCAAAAACGTTCCCACCTAAACGCGCCAATATTGCATACGAATAATACCTATGGACTACTGTAACATATAATTTCATATATGGATAAAAATCTGTAGGTAAAATTCGTAGGTAATTTAAAATGTATCTACGGATATGAATCCGTAGGTAAATATCAGCAGGTAATTGGTAATTTTCTTGTAGTGTATTCGCTTACAATGAAGCACCGCTTCAACGGCCTTTGCGTACTCTTCAGAAACACTAATAACCATGGGACCAGGCTCAGTTGGAGCAGAAGCAACCTTAACTTTCTTAGAAGGCCTTTAAAAGGGCTCTCAAGCAAAAGCCGATGAACCCTCGAGCATCAACTTGGCTAAAGAAACCTTCATATTTAGAGGAGCAATAACCAACTCGGCACAAATTTGTTTGTAATCAAAAGAGCTTCCCATATTGTCTACGATACAAAACACAAATATTAGAAACACATATAAAGCATAATAGTACCATCACAAAATCTGACCATTAAATTGAGACATTTGATCTTTGACATATATAATAGCCAAAAGATCTTTGCAACTTTAAAGTCGAGGAAGCTCCTTCAATATAGTTATGGATACCCGATCCTCATCAGAAAAACAAGTGCTCGAGACGTAATTTAAACTTGATTAGAGTTGTCCAATAAAGAGGAAAGTGCAACGTGTTATTAAGGTAATAAAATATAGACTTCGAAGTCCAAGGTGTTACACTTTACTTAGAAAAAATGGTTCTTAAATTTTTTAAACAATTGGGTATCTATGATGAACAATCCACTGTGTTGAGAACCATTGTGGGGGAAACACAAACGATCTCATAATCATACTTCAGTTGATAACAATATATGAAGACATTCACTGAAAAGGTCAATCGAAGGAAGAAACAAAAAATTTGAAAAGCCTTCAAAGAGACCCAACTGTCAGGGTGTAGTTGGCTAGGAGCCACCCTAAGCATAGATAACATCTCATATTCAAAATTGATGAGTGGTAGTAGAATCTATAACTCTTTAAATAAACACAAAGGTGAAGTCCTTGCCATCATTCCTTGGCTTCATATAAACTCAATCGGATGAAGAGCACAACTCAAGATTTATCAGGTGACCATAAGACAACTCACATATATCAAATGATTTGCAAAATTCTTCTAAGTGGAAATCGACTAATACATTGACCTATAATGGTATACCTCATTCAACACTCAGTAGTACTTAGGGTCAAGGATAGGACCACATCTATCCTTATGCTTAATTTTAATACTCCTATTAAAACCCTCTACTATGGGGTTTTGCGGGTCTTAACCCACTTTAGACTTCCCCTTGTGAGACGTAACAACGGTGGAAACCGCCACCACAGCTACCATAGAGGTCACTTCTACCTCTTTAACCCTCACATCTCTAACACTATCAAAGGATGTGGCCCTGATAGAGCGAACCTTCTTGGAAACCATTGGAGACACTTATTTTGAGGAATCAACATACACAAAAGCAGACATTATCAAAATGAAAGAAGAAGAATAACGAGGTACCTTATAAAGATAAAGAGGAAAGGTATAGACAAAAACCATGAATGTTGTATAGAACACACACTACTTGCAAAAGAATGAAAAGGCACAAATGAGATAAACACTCGCAAGACAACGAGATAAAAAGGGAAAACATATGGGGAGTCAAATTGTTTGTAATGATTACAAAATTCCCCTTAATTAATGCACTACTAGATTGACAAAAAGCAATAAGCTAAGTATCTTATAGGAGAAAGGCAAATTGATGAGACTATAAATCTCTTTCACCTATAATATATGCATACCCTGTAGGACTCTGAGCTTGGAGGGCTTGTGTATCTGATCAACCCAAAAACAACTAAGTATCATAGTTATCGAGATCTTCATACAAAATATCTCGGTAGTATTCGATTATCTCAACAATACCTGAAATGCTCTGATACCAACTTATCCGAGATACTTAACAACCATCTAAAAATATCCTCCAACACAAGGATAAAATATTCCTCATATCTCATGCAATTATGGTAATCTAGTCTTGTTTACTCATTATTTATTATTGCTTTATTCCAATTATTAACTTAAATATCAAAGAATCTTTTATAAATATTCCTTAATTTGACTCATACCTACTTGGCTGACTAAAAAAGCTCAAACGCCCTCTTTACTCCAGATAATAGCAAAATTGTTTTTGCATCGGATCAAATAATATTATGTGATAGATAACTATCATGAAAATGTTGATATTTGATAGAGAAATTAAAAGATCAGGGTTCATTGGAAGCTCAAAGATACCATGTGAAAATGCAACTATACAAGGTTATTGAGGTAATTTAAATACTAAAAACAAAAGGCAGTATAAGTAGATATACGGTAAGTGCAATAGCAAATTCCTTTTGCCAATGATTACTGAATATATATTTGGGCCTAATGCCTCTTTAGTTCTTTTCCGGTTATGTGTTCTCCTTAAATGTTTTAGCAAGAATGGGTTGGGCTCAGGTTCTCAACCCCAAACTTTTTCTTTCATCATTTTGATTTTGATTAAAAATGTTTTTGATTTTTTTATTAAATTTTATTTTGGTTCTTATATGTTAAAATTTGATTAATTAGTTTTTAAACTTACACCCTAATTTAGTTATTTTATCAATTTTTATGATTACAGAAAACTATTACTAAATGGTAAATTTAAGTATAAAAAACAATTAAAAAAATATCATGTAAATTTAGTCTTTCTATTAAAAAAAAAACTATCCCTAAATATTAAATTAAGTATAAACGATACATCAAACTCTCGTTTTACAAAATTATATGATTTAATTCATCAATTTAAAAAAAAAATAAAGGGATAAAAAATATAGAAATAAAAAAAATCATACCGGGTCAATATAATAAATAAATAAATATGACAAAATAATTAAATTCAGTCCACAAATTTGGTAAGTTGAAATAACATTTTTAGTTTATCAATCTAATTTATTGACTTTTCTTAATATTAAAATATTGTAATCTAAAAAAATTATATTTTATTGTATTATTTAAAAATATAAATTTTCAATAATATTATAATTAAAAAAATCAACTAAGTTGAAATAACATTTTTATTTTATCAATCTAATTTATTGGTTTTTTTGTTATTAAAATATTGTAATTTAAAAAAATAAATATTTTATTGTATAATTTAAAAATGTAAATTTTCATTAATAATATAATTAAAAAAATCAACTAATACTTCACAAAATTAAGAACATTTCTAAATAATTTAAAATTAGTCTAGTAAGACAAAAATGGTAAAATGGCACTAAGACGTGTAAACTGACTCGTCAATTCACCTTAAAAATGATAAAGTGAGTAGATAATTTTGACTTAATAAACTATTTTGTCCTATTTTTCCTAAGTTTGTCAACTTTACGGGTCTGAATGGATAAGTTGATTTATTTTAAAATAATATTTATATATTAAAATAAAAATAAAAAAGATAATTAAAAATATAATTTTTTTATATTATTGAAATATGTAAATATATTATAATATTATAATTTAAATTATAAATAATAATGAATTAAATTTAAAATATTGATTATAATAAGGTATTTTAATGTATAAATATAATAATTTTTTAATTTATTTAATAAAAATATTAATTAATAAATAAAAATTTAAAATTTATTTATATAATTAAATATATATTTTTTAAAATATATATAAAATTTGTGTATATATAAAAAAGATATTAACGCTTATCGTAGTAAGATATGTTTATGATCATATCTACCCGCACCATCCCATTTTGTTTATGGGTAGAGGTGAAGTGAATTGACCCAATTACATCATAATGCTCTCTCTAAGAATCTGGGAAACATAAAGTTCATCTTCTTCTTCAAAACTAACATCTTGAACCATCTCCCTCTTATGCTCCAAGAAATCATGTTTGAAGAAAACAAATTATTGTCTCATCAATTCACCCACCTCATATGTAAATTCAAGAATGTAAATCCTGGACCTCACAAGTTGAAGCCTCCAAAGTGAAGAATTTGGAAAGCTTTGATATTGAAAAAGAAAATAAAGGGCACAAGATGAACAATGATAACCAAATTAGAATATATATATTAAGCAAGAAATGGAATCGATTAACTAAACATGTCTTAGGAAGTTTAAACCTTCATTTAGTCTAAAAATGAGAGACTCAAATTTACACCAATCAAAATTTGAAAAACTTGAGTCTCCCATGTGAGAAATTTTCAAATTTAAATGAATTTATCTTTTACTAATGAATTTGCCTCAATTAGAATTTTCAATATATAAATATTTTCTTGTCAAGAATTAATAAATTAGATTCCCAGTCTATATCTTTCTATGTAAAATTATTCAATTAAGATTTTAAAATCTATCTTAAGAAAGGTTTATTTTTCTAGTCATTGTTTCAATCTAGGTCTTATTATGATAGTTGTTAATATGTCCTCTAATTCTTCAAATATACCTCTTAATAATTTCTACTCACTAGCATTAATGCTTGGAAATCTGAATTAATTTTCTCATTAATAAACATACATTCAAATCCATCAAACATCTATTTATTTTTAAATGTCATTTTTTTTGAGAAATAAAAAATTGTAATATTTTTGT